CAAAAAAAAAAAAAAAAAACTTTGAAAAAGAAACTGGACTTTTCTACACAAAAAAAAAAAAAAAAAAAAAGATATAATCATGTAAGCAATGTAATCTGTGAATTGTTTCATTACCTAATTTTTAATATAGTAACTCAGAGGAAAAAAAAAAAAAAAAAATACTCTTACAAGGAAAAAGGCAGGCAACTGCCATAAAAAAAAAAAAAAAAAACAGGAACTCTCAGGCAGGAACTTGGCTGTAAAAAAAAAAAAAAAAAAAAAACTCATCTATTGTAGGCCTGGCCTGGATAAAAAAAAAAAAAAAAAAGGAAAGGTCGGTAGAATATCAACCAAGACAAAAAAAAAAAAAAAAAAACTCATTTCAAAATGTCATCAACAAGAACCAAAAAAAAAAAAAAAAAAAGGATGATTAAACTGGCCTGAGTTTGAATGAAAAAAAAAAAAAAAAAAAACCTGTAACTAACACAAAGGAGGTAAAGTGGCAGAGGGTCTTGTATGAGCAACAGCCATTTCCTGATAACTGTGTGGAAAAAAAAAAAAAAAAAAAGCAGCTCCTGAAAGAGCTCCGGAAAAACATAAAAAAAAAAAAAAAAAAATATTGGGCTGTGGTATTTGACTCCAGTGTAAAAAAAAAAAAAAAAAACAGTATTTGTGTGTTTCTGGTTACCTGGTGAAAAAAAAAAAAAAAAAATCTGGCCCCCCACTGGCTTGTTGGGACTGTAAAAAAAAAAAAAAAAAACGGGTATATTTTGTTTGAGCTCACTGATGGAAAAAAAAAAAAAAAAAATGGGCGGATCCGGTGGACTGACCTGAAAAGAAAAAAAAAAAAAAAAAATTTCACTTATGGCTTTTCACCAGTGCTAAGAAAAAAAAAAAAAAAAAAAGCACTGACACCATCTAGGCCATGTTGCTCAAAAAAAAAAAAAAAAAACTCATCTCTTTTAACTATGGTGCCAATGATAAAAAAAAAAAAAAAAAATCCAGTAACTATCCTTGAACACGGCCATCTAAAAAAAAAAAAAAAAAACTTCACGCCTTCCCCAGTCCCTGCATGTCTAAAAAAAAAAAAAAAAAACCATCCAAATTTTGTCCTGTGGCTCATGTTACAGGAGAAACTAAAGGCATGGACTCCCAAGGGCTATGTAGTGGTTACAAAAAAAAAAAAAAAAAAGGCCTTGGAGGAGCTGTGGGAGCCATACTCAAAAAAAAAAAAAAAAAATCTGTCTCATGTCTCTGTTCATTTTACCTCATTCGCCTGCAGCTTTTTAAAGAAAACATTCACGGGCCTTGGGATACAAAAAAAAAAAAAAAAAAAATGAAGCTGAAATCAAGGAAGACTTGTCCAAAAAAAAAAAAAAAAAAAGGGACATTCTGATAGACTAGCCTCGTAACTAAAAAAAAAAAAAAAAAAAGGCCAAGTGCGGTGGCTCATGCCTGTAATAAAAAAAAAAAAAAAAAACCGAGGCGGATGGATCACGAGGTCAAGAGTAAAAAAAAAAAAAAAAAAACATGGTGAAACCCCGTCTCTACTAAGAATAAAAAAAAAAAAAAAAAATGGTGGTACGTAATCCCAACTACTTAGGAGTCTGAGGTAGGAGAATCGCTTTAACCCGGGAGTCGGAGTTTGCAGTAAAAAAAAAAAAAAAAAAAACACTCCAGCCTGGGTGACAGAGCAAGACTCAAAAAAAAAAAAAAAAAAAAAAAAAAACTTGAACATAGAGTTCCATTCTGGATGCAGCATGTCATTGTGGTAAGAGAACAGAGATTAAAACAAAACAAAAAAAAAAAAAAAAAACTTGGGTGGTGAGGGTACTTATCCTTTCTGTAATTCTGTGGATGAAAAAGCTTTCTGGGGCCCTCTTGAATCATTTGCAAAAAAAAAAAAAAAAAAATGTTTTCTATTAAAAAAAAACACACATTCAAAAAAAAAAAAAAAAAAAAATATGAATAAAAGTACCCTCACAAAATGAAAAAAAAAAAAAAAAAAACAGAGACCCAGATTCTCCAGTCTCCTGTCAAAAAAAAAAAAAAAAAAATCTGGCTCTACGTTTATTGTTGAGGAGAGAAAAAAAAAAAAAAAAAACCAGGCTGGAGCACAGTGGCACGATCATAGAAAAAAAAAAAAAAAAAATCCTGGGTGCAAGCGATCCTTTTGCCTCAGAAAAAAAAAAAAAAAAAAAGTACAAATGTGTGCCACCATGCCAGGCTAAAAAAAAAAAAAAAAAAATGTAGAGATGTGATCTCACCATGTTGCCCAAAAAAAAAAAAAAAAAAAGGGTTCAGGTGATCCTCCTGCTGTGGCATCAAAAAAAAAAAAAAAAAAAGTGTAAGCCACCATGCCCAGCTCTGTTTTAAAAAAAAAAAAAAAAAATCATTATAGATTAGAACCAACATCAGCTCTAAAAAAAAAAAAAAAAAATTCTACCTGAGTTTCTACAGCCAGATCCAAAAAAAAAAAAAAAAAAAAGGACCATCAGCAATCTCAAAAATCCTGAAAAAAAAAAAAAAAAAAAAACTTCTGGGTCTGATACCCTTCTCATGGAGTAAAAAAAAAAAAAAAAAACAGTCCTACTGGAATACCTACCCAACTGCTTCTTCAAGTCTTCCTTGAAAACACAAAATCACTGCATTTTCTTACAAAAAAAAAAAAAAAAAAAAAGCTGCTTGCAGTAAAATGTAGTCCTTCCCCAAAAAAAAAAAAAAAAAACTGCTAGCCTTCCTGGAGTCTTTCTGAAACGGCTTCCAAGTTTCTTTTCTTTTTCTTTTTTTTTTTTTTAAGACAGAGTCTCACTCTGTTGCCCAGGCTGGAATGTAGTGGTGCGATCTCAGCTCAAAAAAAAAAAAAAAAAAAGAGTTCAAGTGATTCTCCTGCCTCAGCCTCAAAAAAAAAAAAAAAAAAAGGTGCATGCCACCACACCCAGCTAATTTTAAAAAAAAAAAAAAAAAAGGGGCTTCACCATGTTGCCCAGGCTGGTCTAAAAAAAAAAAAAAAAAATGATCTGCCTGCCTCAGCCTCCCAAAGTGCAAAAAAAAAAAAAAAAAACCACCACGCCCGGCCAGCTTCTAAGTTTCTCTTAGCTTCCTGTCCAGAAGGCTTTAGGTGCCGATATTACTTGCTTTTCTGGCAGTTGGAGGTCATTCCAGTTTCATGGCTCTGCTTCTAATATAAAAAAAAAAAAAAAAAAAAACACATGCACGTGTACACTTTAAAAAAAACAAAAAAAAAAAAAAAAAACAGATCATCTATGCGACCCAAATCACTCACAAAAAAAAAAAAAAAAAAGAATTCTGGTCACTGAAGTTCCTCGAAAAATAATGCTCAAACACCAGGGATTTTCTATGACTTCCTTATTTAGGAGATTCGTGAACTCAAGCTATTTTATCTGAAAACAGTTAAATCTAATTCCAGAAAAAAAAAAAAAAAAAACATCTGCATATTGTCTCAGAGTCAATTTTTCAGTAAGAATTCCAGACATTTCTCTTCCTTTACGTTACAGTAAAGTATAAAAAAAAAAAAAAAAAACTTGATTTTCAAGGCTTAAAAGTCAAATAATTTCCTTTCACTAGATCTCATAGGTCATAACTGCTCTCACCTAGATGCAAAAAAAAAAAAAAAAAAAAGAACAAGCTTTTTAAAGTCCAATAACTCAAAAAAAAAAAAAAAAAATTAAAAGAAAGAATGTTTAAATATTTTTTAAAAAAAAAAAAAAAAAAAAAGAGAGAGAGACAAATAACTCTCCTCTAGAAAAAAAAAAAAAAAAAACCTGGCTAGGCCAGGCAGGGAGGAAGCAATAAATAGGGGGAGAAAATGGCAATAAGACGTTATGTAGCCCTTCTAACAAAAAAAAAAAAAAAAAAAGGTGAGGGACAAGGCTGTCCGAGGGAGGGCAGGAGATGAGGCCATGGCTTGGTCTCTTTTGCACTTGGATGGCTGTCAAAAAAAAAAAAAAAAAAAGAAAGAACTACCCAGATTGCAGAAAAGAGCAAAAAAAAAAAAAAAAAATGGGGGAGGAGTGGAGACACAGCCGAGTGTAAAAAAAAAAAAAAAAAAACAAAAAGCTTCTTTGATTTGTAAACTTGCAAAAAAAAAAAAAAAAAATCAAAATAGAATTCACTGGATTTTTCAACAAAAAAAAAAAAAAAAAAAACACAATATTCTTCCCTTTGGAATCGGTGCTGTTAAATAGACATGTACTATATAGCCATTTTCCAATGCAACATTAGAAAAAAAAAAAAAAAAAAAGCGGCTAGTGAGTAATACTGCTGCTGTAGGAAAAAAAAAAAAAAAAAACGGACGAGGATCTTACTGAGGATTGCATCAAAAAAAAAAAAAAAAAAAATCTTGTTATAGTTGACCAGGCGAGCAAATAAAAAAAAAAAAAAAAAAAGCTCTCTCTGAACTGGACTGAGTCCCCCAAAAAAAAAAAAAAAAAAATTCTGATGACCCGAGGCAAGGTAGGTTTCTAAGAAGGTCAGGATTCGAGATTCTGTGACAAAAAAGAAAGTGGTCAGTAAAAAAAAAAAAAAAAAATTACAAACCCGACTGTGCCTCAGTTCTCAGAAAAAAAAAAAAAAAAAAGGGGAAGTTGTCCCCGATCAATACTCCTAGAAAAAAAAAAAAAAAAAACTTGCACGTCTGCACATTCATCCTATTTATAAAAAAAAAAAAAAAAAATAGATGGTTAGTTTCATGAAGGTAGGAGCCAAAAAAAAAAAAAAAAAAATGTCTCCTCAGCACTCAGCACAGTGCCCAAAAAAAAAAAAAAAAAAAAGGAGAAGCTCAAACACACTTGGAATGCAAGAATGAATCCATGAGTGGCCGGGTGCAGTGGCTCACGCCTGTAATGCCAGCACTTTGAGCACTCTGGGAGGTTGAGGTGGGTGGGTCACCTGAGGTAAAAAAAAAAAAAAAAAACTGGCCAATGTGGTGAAGCCCCGTCTCTACAAAAAAAAAAAAAAAAAACCAGGTGTGGTGGTGTGCACCTGTAGTCCCAGTTACTCCGGAGCCTGAGGCACGAGAATCACTTGAACCCAGGAGGTGGAGGTTGCAGTGAGCTGAGATCAGGCCACTGCACTCCAGCCTGGTGACAGAGCAAGACAATCACATAAAAAGGTGGAAAAATCAAGCAGGAATTACAGGTTCAAAATACAGGTTCAAAATTTTTCCTACTAAGCCTCCATGAAAAAAAAAAAAAAAAAAAAATCTGATGCCTGCATGGAAGTCGTGGGCATTAAAAAAAAAAAAAAAAAAGGAAGAATAATTTATGTTGATGCTTTCTTTTCTAGTCCATTCCCCTTCACAATGCTTTTGCACCCTTGTGTATCTTTAAAAAAAAAAAAAAAAAAAAGTCACACTTCTTGCAGATTTTATCACAAAAAAAAAAAAAAAAAAAAAATGGAATGGACTTTTTCAAGCTATATGCCTAAAAAAAAAAAAAAAAAATCCTCTCAGGTGCAAATAACTTATACCCTCCTGAGCCTCACAACACAGACAGAAACTGCTGACAGGACAAGACAGGGCAAAAAAAAAAAAAAAAAATTTTTTTTTTTTCAAGACACGGTTTCACTCAAAAAAAAAAAAAAAAAAGCAGTGGCACAATCTCAGCTCACTGCAACCAAAAAAAAAAAAAAAAAAGCGATTCTCCTCCCTCAGTCATCTGAGTAGAAAAAAAAAAAAAAAAAAGTCACCATGCCCAGCTAATTTTTGTCTTACAAAAAAAAAAAAAAAAAAACCATGTTGCCCAGGCTGCTCTCGAACTCCAAAAAAAAAAAAAAAAAACCGCCTCAGCCTCCCAAAGTGCTGGGATTAAAAAAAAAAAAAAAAAAACCCAGCCCTATCACTCTTCTTCTTCTTTCTAAAAAAAAAAAAAAAAAATTTTTTTAAGATGGAGTTTCCCTCTTGTCTCCCAAGCTGGAGTGCAATGGCGCAATCTCGGCTCACTGCAACCTCTGCAAAAAAAAAAAAAAAAAATCTCCTGCCTCAGCCTTGCAAGTAGCTGGGAAAAAAAAAAAAAAAAAACATGCCCAGCAAAGTTTTGTATTTTTCGTAAAAAAAAAAAAAAAAAAAGTTGGCCAGGCTGCTCTCCAACTCCTGACCAAAAAAAAAAAAAAAAAATTGGCCTCCCAAATGCTGGGATTACAGGCGAAAAAAAAAAAAAAAAAACCTGTTCACCCTTATTCTTTTTTTTTTTTTAAAAAAAA